ATTTTTAAAAAAGGAGCTTGGAACCAAAACATGAGCTTGGAACATCTTGCATGCCAGAGAGTAAGAACTGTGAAAAAAATGATAGAAGCTCGTTGCAAACACATAGAAGGGATTTTCAGAGGCCAACTATGGGACAATGTGAGAATCAAATATTTCAATGCAGTAATGAATTATAAACCATTTCAAATAGTAATTTATGAGTCAATATTTATGATAGGCTGACAGACAGATGAATGGTAGAGAGGAATTACTGTAGGGTGCTGAAGGCCATCTATTAAATGTGGAAGTAGTACTAGGGTTGAAAAAAATGATTTTGCAACCAAGATGGTAAGGATTGCATTAGGGAAGACTCATCAACGGATGCCAAATGTAGGGAAATTATGATGAAGAGCTGGATATTTGCATGGTCTAAAAATGTCTCCCTACAGTCTGCATATTAGTTGCAAAGAGTGGAAAAACAGTAATTCTGTGGTGGACAAGTTGGGAAGCTCCTTGACTGGGTGATCAACATTAACATCACCTTTGAAGGACAGATGGACACACAGGTGCGGTACCCTGAAAGGAGCACAAGGTCAACTCTGCAGTGTTTCAAGAATGCATAACCTTAATCTAATCATGAAGAAACATCAGACAAATACAGAATGAGAATCATTGTATTTAATCGAAAAAGGGAGTTTGTATTCCTCAAAAATGACAAAGTCATAAAAGTCAAAGAAAGGCTATGGAAATGTTTGGGATTAAAGGAAGGCAAAGATAATAACAACTAAATGCAATACTAAATGGAGAAGTGGATCCTGAACTAGAGGGAAACAATGCTGTAGAGGACATTATTGGGTTAACTGATAAAATTAGGACAGAAGAGCAGGTTAAATCAAAATGCAGTACCTGTAAATTTACTAAAGTTTGTCATTGTATGGTGGTTGCATAAAAGCATATCCCTATTATTAGAAAATGCACACTGAGGTACTTAGGGGAAAAGGATTGGTGTATTTAACTTACCCTCAAATTAGGTAGGTAGATAGATAGATTAGACAGATGGTAGATACAAAAACAGATAAATGGATGATGAAGCAAATGAAGTAAAATGTTAACCTCATTCTGGGTAAATTCTACATGGGTAGTTTTCATACTGTTTTTATTTTTGCAATTTTTCTTTTCTTTTTCTTTCTTCTTTTTTTTTTTTTTTGTGGTACGCGGGTCTCTCACTGTTGTGGCCTCTCCTGTTGCAGAGCACAGGCTCCGGATGCACAGGCTCAGCGGCCATGGCTCACGGGCCCAGCCATTCCGCAGCATGTGGGATCTTCCCAGACTGGGGCATGAACCCGTGTCCCCTGAATCGGCAGGCGGACTCTCAACCACTGAGCCACCAGGGAAGCCCTGCAATTTTTCTTTATATTCAAAATTCTTTTCAAGTAAAATAATGTTTTTGATGTGGTTGTGTGGAGAAAGCTAATGAGGATCTTGGCTCTTATTCAGGGTTCATGAGGAAGTGGAGTAGAGCTGACAGAAACCTCCGAGGGAGGGGACTACAGACAAATTTCCAGTTTGTCACATCTGCCCCAGGTCACATCTCCCTTTCTTATATAAACAACATGCAAAGTGATGAGTCCATATTTTCCAGTTCTGCACTCTGAGTCACACTATAAATGTCAGAAATAATCCCACACTTAATAAATCAAATCTACTCCAGCACTTACTTGTATCCTTTTGTTCTCACAAATCCCTTATGCTCAGAAATACTTTAGGGGAAGAACGACCATAAAACAACTGGCTGTTTGCTCTTGACATAAATGTAGTGTCTGACTAAATAGGCCTCTCGTCAGCTGGGGAGAGTGTGGCCTTGGAGGAAGCTGGAGGTGAGGTATCAAATGCCATGATTCCCAGAATGAGCTTCACAACATAAAGTTGGGGTCTTCTTCTTGCAGTCAAGGTCATTCTTGCCAATAGAATGTTCTTCATGCCCACATGAGTATCCTCTCTTGACTTATAAAAATTTCACTCTCTCTTTCCCTTTCTCTATGTGTGTATACATATCTATATAATACATACACTGTACTTGCATGCATGGCTACATACATGCATGTGTGCATATATGTATATGCAAAGTTCCTTGATACTTTTACAGAAATGAGCCCTCTGGTTCTGCAGGGCCAGCATTTACACCTTAGGTGAAGAGGGGTTTGTAAACTACCATGCAGAGAATCTCATATTAACTGGGGTGAACAAAGGACCCCCCATTTGAGCAAACACAAGAATTTTATTATATCTTTCTGATGATATCTTGTGTCACTTACACTCCATCAACAAATCTCATGGGTAGCTAAGGAGGATTAAACTAACAGTTACTTTATGCTCAATAATTCAAAGGCAAAATTAGACTCTCTCCACATGGAATGATTTCAGTGGTGACTGGGAAAAAGCCTGCTGTCTTCCCAAATCTCCCTCTCTCCTCTGTAGGGTTGTCCCTAGAAGTTTTTATCTAACAAAAAGCTAAATTTCTCTCACCACACAACTTGAAGGAAGCAGTGTTGGCTCCCAAAGATTCAACATATAATTAAAGTAAACCTCTCTGCTTCTTCCCTTTAAGCCAGGCACATACATTTTTGTTGAGCTATGCGATGGTAGAGGAACTAGGGCTTCAGTTTAAAAAACCAGCTTTCCAAAATCCAAAGCAATCCAACTTCTGAGATTAAGGATGATTTTTGACTTTACTAATAAATCCTATTTTTATCGAGGACTTTCCTTGGAGTGTAAGTCCTAATGTAAAGTTAAGCAGCTTTACCTTAACATGATAATACCCCGGGAAGCTACTTAAATTCATGTGGCTGCTTGCTTCTACATGAGAGGGCTCAAGTCTGCCATGCATTCAACTGATGTTAGGTGTATGCCTATGAAGTCTAACACATATATGAGTCAACGAGGAGCAAGGATGGATAAGACGGTATCTACTTACAGGACTCCCATTTTGGTGGTGGAGATACACCTGTTAACAGATAAATGACATACAGCTTATTAAGTGATACATACAACTGGGATATAATCCAAATTAAATAGAATGTGACAGAAAAGAACATGCGTGTGTACCAAAAAAGAGGAAATTCGAGCAGGTTTTCTGAAAACCTCCAGATGAGTCTGCTAGGTGAAGAATGTGAGGAAAAGAATTCCCAGCACATGGAACGATATGTGAAAAGCCACAGGAGTGGGAAGGGCATGGGTGGCTGGCTGCAGATGGAGGAGAGCTGTGTGGCGGGAACCCGGCCTGTGCTCTGGAGTAGCTGGAGAGGGGGCTGGGAAAGTTGTGCAGAGGCAGAGTGTGAATGCCCTCAGAGCCGAAAATTAAAAATAACATTTTATTTTCTGTATTTTATAATGCTTTGGCATCGTGGGACCTTGCTGACATGGCAGAGACCACCCTTCCCAGGGGTAGCTAATTCCTAGAGCTAGTAAACTGCTTGCCTGTGGACATGCCTTTGATATGCATTATATGCATATCAAAATGCCTTTGCACCCATCTCAAGTTCAAACTCCCACCTGCTTCCTTTTATCAGGCTCCTGCAGCCCAGAACAGTACACCCCTTCCCTCTATCACTCCAGGGTCAGCTATTAGACCAGACAAATAGGAACTGCGCACACAGCCCAGAGCTCCCTGCATTTATTCAAACTATCCAGTTCTAAGCCTGCTCAGCTGCTGACCTACCTCACCTGTTTCTCCTATGAAAACCACAATAAAGCCTTTTGCTCATGTTTTCCTCTCATTCCTTCTGCTTTCTGACCAACCCTGGTGCTTCCCCATGTGGCCTTGCATTGGTGGGACGTGACCGTCTTCTTAGGAACTGTAAGTGACAAATGACTTTTTCAATGGCAGTCATTTCCTGATCTGTCACCCTCATCATACCTGAAATAAAAACAAATTTCCGGGTACATTTAAAAACAGTGTCTTGAAGGTAAAAGTAATGCAACAGAAGCATTAAAGTAAACATAGCTTATGATTTCTTTCATAGGAAGATAACTAAGAACAGTTCTGAGAATCAGTTGGAGTGAAGGAAGATTCAGGCAGGATACCAGTAAGAAGTTGTTGTAATAGAAACAAGGCCATTTGCAGCAACATGGATGCAACAAGAGATTATCATACTAAGTGAAGTAAGTCAGAAAGAGAAAGACAAATACCATAGGATATCACTTATATGTGGAATCTAAAATATGGCACAAATGAACCTATCTACAAAACAGAAACAGGCTCATAGACATAGAGAACAGACTTGTGGTTGCCAAAGGGGAGGGGTGAAGGGAGAGGGATGGACTGGGAGTTTGGGATTAGCAGATGCAAACTATTACACTTAGAAAGGATAAATAAAAAGGTCCTAATGTAGAGCACAGGGAACCTTACTCAGTATCCTGTGATGAACCATATGGAAAAGAATTTTAAAAAAAGAATGTCTGTATGTGTATAACTGAGTCACTTTGCTGTACAGCAGAGATGGGCACAACATTGTAAATCAACTCTATTTCTATAAAAATTATAAATGAAAGAAGTTGTTGTAATCATCAAAGAGAATAATGAGGGCAGAAGGAATGGCATTAGGGTTGAAAAACTTCTGAACAGCATCACTATTGCTACTATGAATTTTGCTTTCTAGTATCTTATTTTTACAGTTATTCTGTTTTCTTACTTTCCTGTTAGCTGCCTTCTCTTGTTTTTAGAGGGCATACCTCTAAGAAGATTACTATCTTCTCCAATTTGATATTTCTAAGTGGGCATGGGCTGGGATGCCCAGAGCAGGAGCAGGCTTGCTAACTTCCTGTTCTAGCAATGCTGCAGATTTCTTACTTCCTGTGAAACCACCTGGATTGATCTGCCACATGTGGTGCAGGACCTCATTAAGAGCCTACCAACAGAAGCCCAAGCATAATGATAAAAATTAGCCATGGACAAAAATAATAGCCTACCTGCTGAGTCCAAAGACATTCTAACAACAGTTCCCAGTAGAGAACAGGAGAGAAATGGGAGATGGAAAAATTAAAAGAGGCATATAAGGTTAACAGGGAGTTAACCTTATAGAATGCAAGCCTGAAGTCTCAGCTCACATATTTCCACCTGCTGCCTGAGCTTCAATTTCCTTCACTAAGGTAAGAATTGGAAGAAGTTTATTGTGATGTCAGATGTAACTTAAGGGTACTTAGGTACTTGCAGTGTGGACTGACTTCATTGTGAGTGATACCCTCAGGGATGTTCAAGTAGAAGGGTCCTCCTAGTGGTGGTGGGGGATGGACTGAACCCAACTGGGAAGGAAGACATCAGAGATGGCCCACCTAAGGATCCATTTCCAGAATAAAGAGGAAAATTGCATGAGAAATAGCCAAGAAAAAGACAGAGGTATATGTCAGATCAAGCAGGTGTATAACGAAAATAATAAGCTGTGAGGTGGATGTCTGGGAGAACAGGAGAGTTAGGGTAAAATGTGAAATATGCGCTGGACTGTGCCTGTGAGGAGCCAGCTTGTAAACAAAGGGTGCATCCATATGCTGATCTTTTAATAAGGATAATAATTGTTACATTTATTTTGTCTTACTATTTAGAAAGCTTGGTACCAAGTCTTTTTTGTACATCATGTCTGATTCTGAAAACGATCATTATCCTCCTTCCAACAGAAGAGGATGCTAAATTGCAGAGAGTCAGATTAAACTGCTCACACAGGTAACTAAAGGAATGAAGGATTCAAGGCACAGTTGCTTCATGACTTTGCCCTTGATTTCCATGAATTTTATGTGGTGCTTCTTTTTTGCTGCAGAAATTGTTGTGGCTGCTGAAAGATAGTACATTGGCCTAGCATGAAGGAAACAAATAGAAAAATGGCCCCATTGTACTCCTGGAGGAATTTGCATATAGTTTTGTTGGAGAAATCAGACTTCCCACCTTAAAAAAAAATGATGGAACAGCACAGGATTAAATACACAAAGGAGTTAGGAAAGAGTAAAATGAGATTTGAATGGAGTTGGTGGGACTGGACACAAAGCAAGCAGAACGTAAATTTGGCCATATAGGAAAGTGAGGTCTACCTTGGAAAAATAAGGAGGTGAATCTGCAGGCAGAGCCCTCCCATAAACAAGGTGGAAAACTTAACTTTAGGGGAAGGGGGTGCTCTTCTCTGCCCTGTGCTAAATCTGGTCTGCATACTTCTAACCATCACTCTGATCCACCTGCTCCCCTCCTGCACAAAAAGGGATGTGAGGTATTTGATTGAGAGAGCTCCAGACTGTATTGGACAACTTTTTGTATCTGGCAAAGCTAACTGTGTCTTAAAAGGTAGAGGTATTCTGTTCCCTTATTCTTCACCCTTCTCCCTTCCACTTCCTCTGCTCTACACAACTGCATGGGATAGTGGACTTGTGGTCACCCTTAGCAGGCTCACAGATCTCTCTGGCCCCAACTTCTTTCTTACTTGTGGCTGGATAAAATTTAGGACAAACCTAAGATTTAACAGTGCTGATGTGCAGGACTGGGGCCCAGGCCAGAGGCAGAGAGACAGGGCAGTAAAGGTCTTAGCCTTAAACTCTGTTCTCCAATCCCACCCTCACAGATATCTGCAGCAGGGTTTTCTGGTAGTGTCCTACCTCACCCAACCAAAATGATTGCTCTGGCCTCTGACACCGTCCTCTCACACTCCAGCCTACCACTAGCCACTAAGATCCATTGGCCAGACTAGTAAGAATGTGAACAGTAGCAGGACTTGTTGATCGCTTACCTTTACATTCACTTCCCGCTTTCATTTTCAAACAGGACACAGGCTATATACAGAGACATATCCTCCACCTTAAATCCACATGCTACTAAGGGGGAAAGCTCTGTTTCCAGCTCCAGGGAGTAAAAAATGATTGTTTAAGCTCTGGATGGACTCTATCTGTGTTTTTCAAACTGTGGTGCATAGGCCATCCGCATTAGCATTACATGGGATCCAGAAAATTTGGGGCAGAGCCTACAATCCATGTTTAAACAATCTCTTTAGGTGATTCCGATACATGCATGGTTTGAGAACCACTGATCTAAATGGATGATGTTGGCCCCATTGTTCTCACAAGTAATTGGATCAAATCAGTGGTTTTCAACTGGCGGTGATAAACTCACCTGACTCCCCAGGGACATCTGACAATGTCTGGACACTTGATTCTCATGCCTGAAATTGTTCACCTATTTCCTGAATAATATCTGTTTTTATCCCCAGGTTGACTGCTTGGCCACATCATGTTGATCAGTGGTTCTCAGTGTGTGGTTACTGGACCAGCAATATCAGCATCACCTGGGACCTTGTCAGAAATGCAAATTTCCCAGCCCTGCCCACACCCACTGAAACTGAAACTCTGGGGTGGGGCCCAGCAGGTAGTGTTTTCACAATTCCTCTGAGAGATTCTGATCAGTGGTTGAGAACCACTTATTTTGGCTGTTCTGTGACATTCTGCTATTTGGCCTCAAAGTAACAAATCTTGATGTTTCTGCATGTTTTTGTTGTTGGAGTCAATGCCACTTTAGCTGTTAAATATTTTCATTTTCAATTCTATTTACAATGTTTAGTTTTCTAACATGGTTGGTGATTTTAGTTGTCTTTTCATAATTATAAATGAAGAGCTGGGTGAATTCATGAAGGCAGCTGAGCCTAGTCATCTTTGGAGTGGTGTAGGTCTGTTTTCCCCAACAGCCAACCGTGAGCTGTTTATCAGGGATTGGGGCAAGTGGACAAATGGGATTCACTTCAGGGTGTGGGCCAGGAGCAGGCAGAGTGGGACTGGGTGAGAAAGGAATGTGGTCGTGAGTGTATTTCCTCCTGGGCAGGACATTCTTTCTTGGTTTCCCCTCTCTGTCCATCATGGAAGGCCACAAATATCATGACACTGTTTCTCTCTCAGGTTCCAACCCTATCCAGCCAGGCAGCTCACTCCCCTTGTAGAAAGTGTAGACTTTTAGGCTAGAGGCAGAGGTTGCTCTCTCCCCTTGCTCAAGTATTTGTGAGGGCTGCTGTGAGGTCTGACTTGTTCTGCTCTTTCTGATGAAGATCTTCAGTGCAATGCTTCCAAACCTTACAGATTTTCAAATCACCTGGTTAAAATGTGGAGTCTGATTTAGGAAGTAGGGTGGGGCCCATGTTTCTGCATCTTCAACAAGCTCCCAGGTGATGCAGATGCTACTGGGTCACCTGGGAGTCCATGGACCCCACTTTCAGGCAAGGCATTTATTCAGTGCTCTGAACACTGTACCAGGACCTCTTCCTGTTCTTTGAATTTATTCATTCTTAGCTTCTAGCTCCTCCAGATCTGCTCTCAATAGCTGAGAATGTAGTTTTCCCTCTGTGTGTGCGTTGAGCTTGGGTTTCCTCTATTCTTGTCAACCCAATGACTTTTCCTTTCTCTTGTCAACTGTTCCTATCCATTTCCAATATACTGAGTGAACAAAACTTTCCTGTTTCCCAGTAATGTTTTTAAACTAGTTTTAAAAGCATACACTTTATAGGATATGAAACAGACGCATATGCTAGATACAATTAATTCTGACTTCTATATAAAAATTACATTTCAATGCTCTCCTTACTTTATGGGTTTGATAGACACTATTGCCTTGCTAGCTAAGGCATGCTGCAAGGCATGCTCTTGTCTTCTCAAGAATTATTCTATCGATCTACCTTAATTAAGTTGCCATTTGACATCTTGGGTTAACTGTATTGGTTCTGCCGTAGCCTTCAGGGCTTTGTGATACTGAGTCAGTTCTCTGGCGCTCCCAACATCCTCACCTTGGCCCCTTGAATAACTTGCCACTTCCCACAATATTAATTGAGAGAAAGGTAATCAAATGTAGCCAGTCATCCTAATAGTAATCGCTGAGTACCAGCCATACTGCACAGAATCTGCATCCTGTGATATGTCCTAGTTCTATCTGTTGCTGGCCTCCAAGAAAGATCCTGTCCCCAAAGGGCAGCATCGAAGTTACAGTTTGATGAAACTAGCAAAGAATGTGGATCTCTTCTTTGCACTGGAACTACTTTGATATTTTCTTCTTGAGGATATTTATGAATGCATATATGTGAATATTTTTTTAAAAAAGCAAAGTCTGAAGGCTAATGGTGTAAAATTAGCAAGGCTCCAAGGAAGAGAGTGAAGAAAGAATTTTCAAAACTTTGTAGGCTGAGCTCTCACTGAGTAGCAAATCCCCTTGAGAAAGAACTTCATCTTCATCTTGAAGCCGTATCTAATTGCCTCTTTGGCATCTTCAGATTAAAACCAGCAGCAATTGCACCATATAGGGGCTCTTTATATAACAAGGTTAGATACTGGCTTGGCAGAGCTGCATGGTTTTTCAAAGGCTAATAAGGTTGAACTTGGCATCACTTGTCACTAACTGTGGCTTCATTTTTGGCTCCTGTTTCATGTTCTGTCACATTTAATTTACTGCTCTCTCGCTCCGGATGACACTGATGATGCTGAAAGTCGGCGGGGCAGGTGGGGGAGGGGGAGGGGAGGACTGTGCTTAATAAATGTGGCTCTAGCAGTCTGGTGTGTATCTGACCTTTATTTTTCAAATAACCTGTGTAAATTCAGACCAGTCAATGGACTCAGATAGATGACTGTGTTAAAGGAGACAATTAAATGAGGTGAGCAAATTCCACTACAAGGAAAAATTGATGTCGTGTTACAGTCCACAGCAACCAGTTCTGCGGTTTGTCTTAAGTGGATTCCTTGGGTGATGTTGAATGACTAGGACTAGTTGCTAATGGGAATGGATGACCAATTTTCTTATAGGGAAGGATGATGAATACTGGATCTCAGAGGTTGTTTTCAGAAGAAAGGAGATAGAGTTATGGTTATGAACATGAAGCAATATGTTGTGGACATCTTCTATCTAAAATGGGGTGAAGAAAACAAACCCACCTGTGTAGCATGTTCCTGATGGCTCATGGAGAAAAATTTAAGAGTCTGATGCCTTTTTGTTTGTTTGTTTTTTTCATGGAAACTGTTTAGCTCACCCCACTACCACATTCACACTTACTTGTTCTTGTCTGTGTTCCTAGGGCTTCTTCCCCCCAGTACAAAATTATGCTTTTCTGCATAGCTTTTGACTTAGCTCTTTATTTCAGCTTTATCATCTTCCATGCATTGAATACCAATGACAAGTTCTATCTCAAGTTGTAAAGAAACCATTCCTGCCAGAGCCAGTTGCCCTTTTTGTGACTGAGATAGATTTAGACAAGGCACAAAGGGAACATGTAGAAGACAGTACCTTTTGATTGTACCTTTGTCTACACCCATTTTCCCAGAGCCTTCTGTTTTTAACCTATTAAAACATGTCCCAGATAACTGTTTTAGAAATGTTATAGACCTTTATTAATTAAGGCAGCGCTCACTGCTGTGAAAGATGAATCTTTAAATCTCAGTGACAACACAACTGTTTATTTCTCATTCACACAAAGTCCAAATGGAGGGGGTAGAGGAAGAGGAAGATCCTTACAATTATGCAGGGTCCAGACTAACAGAAGATCTGCAATATCAACATGTGTTTTCTAGGATCATCTGGTCTTCCATAGATGCCAGCAGAGAGGAGAGGAGAAAGAATAGAGCATGCTGCAGGAGGATTTAATATGCAGGACCAAAGGGCAGATGAAGTTACCTAACTTCAAGTGAAGCTAGAGATTTAGTTGAATTGTGTGCTCAGGAAGAGTCGGAAGAATGAGAAACCATTTAATGAGCAGCTAGCTAGCTGTTGGCACATGCCTGCTCAAGAAAAATAGATCTGGACTGAAAAGCAGAAGGATTGAGCCCCATCTAGCTCTGGCTCTGCCACTAATTTAATACATAATCTCTTCATTTAGTTAACCTCCCCAGACATTGAATTTCATATCAACAATAAACTACAATGTCTGGTCACTAAAGGAAGCTTCTAGTGTTAACAGATTATAAGTTTGTATTAATAATAAAAAAGGAAAGGAAGATTTATAAATAGAAAGAGACCATTTATTTTTATTTGTTGTTGGTTACTATATTTTTGTCCTATATCTTAAAATTGATCCTGGTTGATACATTGTACCTACCCAAAGCATTTCAAAACCTCCTGTATGTTTCGGGCATTTTTTTCTGTATCTTTGAGTTCTGTAGAGTCTAAATGCGATTTTAGCTTATTTCAATGTATTCATCTGTTTCTTTTTCATCTTGGTTAAGTTCCTGAGCGGCATATGTATAAAAACTGGGAATGTGCTTCAGAATGTGAAGACTCTGTAATCTAAGATGGGGAACGCAAGTAATTACTTCAGATGGTTCCTGACTTATAATGGTTTGACTTGTGATTTTTTTTGACTTGGTGATGGTGCAAAAGTGATATACATTCAGTAGAAACTGTACTTCAAATTTTGGATTTTGATCTTTTAATGGGATAGGGATAATATGATACCCTCTCATGATGCTGGGCAACAGCAATGAGCTGTAGCTTCCAGTCAGCCACGAGATCACGAGGGTAAACCATCGATACAGTTACAATCATTCTGCACCCAAACTAGCATTGTTTTTCACTTTCAGCACATTGTTCAATAAGTTACATGAGGTAGTCAACATGAATAGGCTTTGTGTTAGATGATTTTGCCCAACTGTAGGCTAGTGTGTTTTGAGCATGTTTAAGGTAGAATAGGCTAAGCTATGATGTTTAGTAGGTTAGGTGTATTAAATGCATTAAGTCTTAATGACTTAAGACATTTTCAATTTACAGTGGGGTTATTGGGACATAATCTTATCATAAGTCAAGGAGTATTTGTAACTTAAATTATTTATAATGGGGAAGTTCATATTTTCCTCCAAACTGCTATCTCCTGCAACATCAAATGCATATTCTTCTGGAAAAATTTTATAAAATTTAATTCATAAAATGTAGTTACTATTTTCTCACTTCTAACCACTCATTAACACCCAGCAACTTTTTAAATGTACCCATCACTTGACTATGACTGTCCCCACTTCTACTCCTCTGCCCTGAATTCTCTCCATGAAAATAACTCCCCAATATACATCCTGTCCAGCTCACTACCATGAGTTGTCAAATATTCAATTGCCTGATGATTATTTTCAAGTGAATATCCTACAAACTTTCACATTCAATAAACTAACCACAAAATTGTTGTAAATTTATTTATAGGTTAATTAATTCCAGAAATCTTCAGTATTGATATAATTTTCTGCTTTGAGCCATGAAGCAGTAACCAGGATCAGACTTACTCTCCAGCCATAAAAAAACACAAAACTGGCAAGTGGTCCATAACTGTCATCCCAGAAAGAAAGGAAACCAGTGAGGTCAGCCAGCCCTCAGAATGCCCCAGCTTTATTTTGAAGGCATTTCTTCTGGACC